TTCAATGTGTGATCACAATATAACAACATGACTTCTCTATGTCCCACTGGGAAATCACATGCTCCAGTGTGATATCACAAAGCTCCAATGTCACAACACTATTGCCACATGAGCGATTACATTGCTCCAATGTGCCATCACGAAGCTACAATATGATTTCACAGTATTCCTTTCTCACGTCACAATGCTCCATTGTGACATTACAATGCTTCAATGTTCCAACACTATTGCCCCATATGATATTGTATTGCTCCAATGAGGTATCAAAATATTACAAAATGACTTCTCAATGTTCCATTCTGCCATGAAAATACTCCAATCTTACATCACAATGCTCCAGTGCCAACACTATCGACACATGTGCCATTATTTTGTTCCAATATGCCATCACGATGTTACAATATGACTTCACCGTGTTGCATTGTGACATCACAGTGATCCAATATGACAACACAATTCTCCAGTGTGACATCACAATGCTCCAATCTTACATCACAATGCTCCAGTGCCAACACTATCGACACATGTGCCATTATTTTGTTCCAATATGCCATCACGATGTTACAATATGTCTTCACCGTGTTGCATTGTGACATCACAGTGCTCCATTGTGCCATCACAATGTTACATTTGATTTCACAATGTTCGAATATGTCATTACAATGCTCCAGGGTGTCATCATAATGCTCCACTGTGAAATCACAATGCTCGAATGTGCCATTACAATGCTCCAAAGTCTCAACACTAAGGACACTGTGACATTAAATTCTTCAATATGTCATGACAGTGTTACAATTTGACTTCAAAATGCTCCAATGTGACATCACAATTCTCCAGTGTGACATCACAATGCTTCAATGTGCCAACACTGTCGCCCCATGTGCCATTATATTGCTCCAATGTGCTATCACAATGTTACAATACTTCTTCACAATGTTTCATTGTGCTATCACAATGCTCATTTTGCCATCAAAATGCGCAATTGTGTCATTACCATGACCCATTGTTTCATCACCATTCTCAATGCGCATACACGGTGATAAATGTCCCCTCAGAATCCCCCCATGTGCCGTTATACTGTGACAGAGTCCACCTCCAGCTGAGTCCTGGGCTGAAGGGGTGAAATTAACTGTTGTGGTAGAAATGACTCTATCAGAAACCGCAGTTGCAGTTCTAGTAGAGGCTGTTGACTGACCAGCTCGGGAGACATAAGCCTGAATATCTTCTTCACCATGTTCAATTTTGAGTTCACAATGCTTTAATATGACAGCACAATGCTCCAGTTTGCCAACACTATCTCAACAAGTACCATTATATTGCTCCAATATGTCATCAGAATGTTACAATATGCCTTCACAATGTTCCCTTGTCACATCCCAATCCTCAAATATGCCATCAAAATGCTTCAATGTGCCAACAGTGTCAGTCCATGTGAAATCAAAATGACCTATGGTGCCATCACAATGTTACAATATGACTTCACAATGATCCATTGTTACATCACAATGCTCCAACGTGAAATCATAATGCTCCAATGTGGCAACATTTGTTGGGAAACCGTGCTGTTGGAGTTGCAGTTCTCCATGTCCGGATAGCCCTGAGGGGCTCGGCGCCAAATGGAAGAACTCCCCTTTTCAGTAGGGGGCCTCCAGCTCTCTTCCTGGTGGCTCACCTGGAAAGTGCCACCAAGCACGGATGCCTGACCTTATCTGAAACATGACCTTTGTCATAGTTACCTGGAGTAAAAACTACCCCCAGGATTTTTCTATATGATAATCAGGCATTGTCTGAGACTCTGGAAGATAGGAGCCCACTGCCACATGTAAATAAAGCATACTATGAGCA